TTTAATACCAGAGTGTGAGGTGGCTACTCTACCAGAGGTCCTGAGTTCAACGCCCACATGTTTGCTCACTACCGTCTATAATGAGATCTGGCGCCCTCTTCTGGTGTGCAGTAACACATGCAGACAGAACACTGTATACATAATAAATGAATAAACCTTTCAGAAAAATACCAGAGTGAAAGAAGATTGAGACCTACCGTGAGTTCGTAAGAGGATGGGCTCAGTTTCTCTCCTTCTGCAATGCTGTCATGAATTGGGACAGTCACACTCAGCACTCGCAGCTAGGTCAACTTGGAGTGAGCCCTAATGTAAGAATGGATTGATTTAATCATCTATCTCATGGTGGCTGAGCACGCAAATTCCATAGATCCATCAGGTGGCAAGTCCCATGTCTTGCCTTCCTGGGCGCTAGTCCCAGGACTCGGGACTTTGAAGCAGGGCATGAGACTGCCTGCCACGAGTGTTCACAGCACTCTGCACCGGGGAGGATGTCACGGGGACTTGAGCCCACGTGGCTGAGGGTGTGGCAGGTGCCATAAGCTAATGCAGGAAACTGAGGAGAGAAACCTTTCTGGCCAGGAGTAGACGGCATGGATATTACATCTGCCAGAGGAGAGGACGGAGCAAAATGACAGGAAACGCTGGGAATCACACACGTGGGTCTCCCCTTTCCCTGGTCCCGTGTCATGCCTGTAGAGGTGCACCCTTAGGTTCTTTCTTCTCATGTATGACTTAATTTGAGAATTCCATACGTGTATGCAGTGTAATGTGATCATATGCATTTCTGTTTTCTCTTCTCCTCCCTGCCATCATTTCCCCTAACACATCTGTCTCTCATTCCCATTCCCATATCTTCCTCCCTTTTCTTTAAATAACCCACTTCATTCACTTAACATCATCCACTGGAGCACACGCAACCTCCGTAAAAGAATGATTCCCCCCCTGGAGCTGTCAGCTGCCAGCTGTCCCCCAGCTAGGGGTTGGGCTATCAACTGACTCTTAGGGAGTCATCTCATGGCTTTTACTGTAATTTTTGGGAGCCGCATTGTCCGCTCATTCACTGTACTAACTCTTTCTTGCCTACTAGTGGGCTTCCATAAGGTTTTCTCACAGCCCTTACTTTTGGTGAAGCCATTCTCCCCCTTCCCCTTAACGTTATCCCCTTGCTTCCATCCAGCTTGGCACTTGAATCCTTGTACCCCTCCCCTCCTCCTTCTGTGTCACATGTATCGTGCTATCCCTCCCGGTTGCCCCGTCCTCTGGCTTTCCTCTCTGAAGTGGCTTCCTCTTTTGCCCCGTTGTCACACACACACACACACACACACACACACACACACACACACACATAAACACACACTGCTCACACTCTGCTGGGAGGCAAAGGCATGCAGCATCAGAAGATGCCAGCGTTTTCTCGGGGATGAAGAACGCCAAGCTCTTGGTTCATTCCAGTTGGATGCGAAGGAAAACGAGGCATCAAATGCTGATAGAATATTTCCCAGAAATGTCCTGTGATCACCTGAAGCTGAGCATTTACTGCCTTGTAAAGAATTTAACAGTGGTGAGCGTGAGGAGGCAGAGCCCCCTCTGGGTGCCTCCATCTTTGGAGCTGCTGTGTCTTGGGCAGTTTCTTAGCAAAGCCAGCAGGGGGGGTGACGAAGCCACAGACTGTCAGACTTGTCGGACTCCGGCTTCCCAGGGATGTCACATCCCTTAGTCTCCAAGTCTCCAGTTTCCTGAGGCTGCCGGAATTATCAGCCCCCAGCTTCCCAGAGTGTCAAATCCATGAGTCCTCAGCTTCCCAGGGCTGTCACAGACATACACCCCCAGCTTCTGAGTGCTGGACCAGTGAACAGTCACTGCGTGACTGCCCTGCTTCATGGGTTAGAAGGAACACATTTCTGGATGAAGTCCAGACCTGTGGCTGTATCAGGGAACTGTTTCTTTTTTTTTTTTTTTGGTTTTTCGAGACAGGGTTTCTCTGTGGCTTTGGAGGCTGTCCTGGAACTTGTTCTGTAGACCAGGCTGGCCTCGAACTCACAGAGATCCGCCTGCCTCTGCCTCCCAAGTGCTGGGATTAAAGGCATGCACCACCAAGGCCCGGCTCAGGGAACTGTTTCTATTGTTAGAGGAACCCACTGTATACCTCCTATACATTAAACACATCTTGCTGTGGGCTGTCCTCTATGTCACCAACTCCAGTAGTGTCGAGGGAGCCCCCACAAGGGTCCACAATGGTCTCTGCAGTCTTCCTACAAATATGAAAAGGTAACTTGCCTTTCACACTCATTCTTAATGTGAATTTGCAGTAGTTTTTGGTGGTCACATGATGCAGCCACAGTTCAGAAATATCTGTTAAAATGATAGTCCCCCTTCTACTTTTCAGCTTGTCAGGCCACACTTTCTTCATAGTTTATAACAGGAACACTTAAAAGCACACCTTCACAAAAGCAGGTGTGAGAATCCAGGTACCTTCTACTAGGTCAAACATTAAAGAGATCAGTAAGTGGGGCCAGGAGCTAGCTCAGTACCTAGCACGTGTGTGGCGCTTAATTCTGTCCCTAGTGTTCCCACAACCAAAATACTCTGATAAGCATCTGTTAATGCCACTATAGTATCTTCTTTTGCCCGCAGCTCCTCAAGGTGAGAGGAGAACTTACAAGCCCCTCCCACCGAGGAAAGACTGTAGTAGGTAAAGACCCAATTCTTCATATGTGCAAAAGTGCACGCATGTGTGTGCACACACGTGCACGCCCGTAGGTCTGTGTGTGCCACTGTGTAGGTGTGGAAATTGGAGAACAACTTGAGGAGGTCAGTTCTCCCCTTCTACCGTGTAAGTTCAGGATTCAGGCAGGTAAATGAACAAATGCCCTCTAATACTTTATAGGTGTTGGTTGGAATCTGATGCAGTGTACACTCTTCATGTCCTTTTAACACTCACACACACACACACACACACACACACTTTCCAAAGGACAGTGTCTTCAACGCCTTCCTTCAGATCAAAAGTACCTGTTTTGAGATTCTTATTCGTCTCTAACTTCTCTGAGTTTGACATTTGTTGGACTTGGCAGTTAAAGTCGTTTGAGAACCGCACATCTCCTCCTTTTTGCTGGCCTGTGGATCTCTGATTCAATACCTAACACTTATCACACATCCTCAATGGTGCGAAAACAGCTAGATTCAGACAGACAGCACTGGTGGTCCCACACGAGATGAAGAGCCCACGGTGTCCCTGCCAGGTTCCCAATCTCAGTCTCTTGGCTTACCGAGCAGTACAGAAGAAGACCTCTCTTGCAGGCTGAGGTGTTCGTATTCACATGACTGATGATGTCACGATAACAGTGATAAACTTTTAGCGTCCCAAGGAAAAGCCGCAGAGCACCTTGTTCTGGATCAGTTTCTTTCACCCGGCTTTCACAGCAGTACTAGGAAATAAAACTGCTAACTGTGGTTTTCAGATACTTCTCAGAAACTTCTCAGGACCTTTGGTTGTCTACATAGTTTCCATCCATGTATTTTAGAAGAAAGATTGATACGATGACTTTTGAGTACTATGGAAAAAATACCTGTAAGTTATTGTGCTCTGAATTAAAAGTAACTACACTATAAATAATTAAAATATGTTAAGGTTCATAGGGCAGGCGGGCAGTTAGAAAATTGTCCACTGGAGGTGTGGCGGTTGGTATGGCCTATGTCTCAAGGGGACAGACAATCCCTTTGCAGAGGGCAAATCAGAAAGCACAGATTTGGGGTTTTTTTTTTTGGTTTTTTTTGGGGGGTTGTTTTTTGTTTTGTTTTGTTTTATTTTGGTTCGGTTTGGTTTTGGTTTTTACGAGGCAGGGTTTCTCTGTATTGTTTTTGAGGCTGTGGGTCCAGCCCGGCCTCGAACTCACAGAGATCCACCTGCCTCTGCCTCCCGAATGTTGGGATTAAAGGCGTGCGCCACCACCGTCTGGCCAGATTTGTTTTTTGTTGTTTTTTTTTATATATAAATTGTGTCCTTTTAATACTGGGCATCTGATTTTTTAAAATATTTTTATGTGCATCATTGTTGTTTTGCTTCTCCTGCATGCATGACTGTATGGCATCAGATCTTCTAGAACGGGAGTCACAGACCATTGTGAGCTGCCTTGTGGGAGCTGGGAATTGAACCCCGTTCCTCAGGCAGAACAGCCAGCGCTCTTAACTGCAAGCCATCTCTCCAGTCCCCTGAAAGCACGGATCTAATAAGGCAAGGAGCACAGGTTTCAGTGAGCTGTCAAAAGAAGCTTCAAGAAGAGAAGGGGTTAAGACAGAGCCCTCTTCGTCTGCACCAGTCTCCCCTCATCACCCATCCGAAAACTGCCCCCCAAGCACTCGTGAGGTTGAGGCAGGAGGCTTATAGTGAGTTAAGAGGCCAGCCTGGGCTATAGGCTAGGTCAACCTGGACTACAGAGTAAGTAGGACTCTGTCTCTCTGTCTCTCTCTCTCTGTCTCTCTCTCTCTCTCTCTCTCTCTCTCTCTCTCTCTCTCTCTCACACACACACACACACACACACACACACACATACACTGCAAAACTCCCCTAGGGAATCTTAGGTGGAGGTAAGAAAGAAAGGAGTTGTTCTGTCAAACAGTTGTCAACCCCCTAGTACTCTGCATCTAAGTCCAGCAGCCACCTCTCCATACCTCAGGACCTACGCTGATACTCAGCATTTCCTTTAGAGTCAACAAGGTGAAAGAACCTCATTCAAAACACTATTCTCAGCCCTTTTCTACACAGAACTCTAGGTCCATTCAGATCTTCGTAAGTATCAATGTTTGCACCAGAGGAACCAAGCCCATCCGTGTCTGTGCGTGTGGTTAGCGTTGACTTGGATTCGGGCAAAGGTCATGGTATTTTTCCTGGTGCCTGGTATATAATCAAGGCTCAGCATTTCTCTTTTCCCTGCTCACTCCCAGCCTTCACTGTATTGTTGATTTTATAAAACTTTATTTTCCCTTGTTCTCTACTAAAGGAAAGATTTAAGGAAGCGGAGGACATCTACCAGGCTGGGATAAAGAATTGTCCAGACAGCTCAGACCTACACAACAACTACGCGGTTTTCTTAGTTGACTCTGGTGAGTGAGACGTGACCGTCCCGAGATTCCTTTTCTCTCTCAGACCAGTGGCAGTCATCAGCTGTGCAGGGGGGCTTACACTTCAGACCCATGCAAATGGTGGCTGGCACCTGTGAGCGACTCCCGTAAAGCCTTTACAATTGCTTCCTTGACGTGCATTGCAGAAACGCATCCTAGCAGTCGGCGCAGTGGTCTGCTGTGGCAGGTGGAACTGGGCACAGATTCTCTCTCCTCTGTGATTTGTACAGAGCCCCATAGGCTGCTCATGTGTAATGGACACTCAGAAGTAATATGATGACACTTGGCTTTAATACAAAAGAGCCTCTCCGTCCCCATTGGCTCAGCGACTGTCTGCCCTACAGGAGAATTCAGCCTGATTATTATTTTTCAATATTGAGTGCTTGAAAGGATTTTCATTTTCTAGGATGCTTGAAGCTTTTCTGTTTAATAGACTATAAGCTTACCTTTGGATCATCAAGGGAAAGCAAGCTACTTCTTTGCATATAAGTGGCTGTGTGGTGCCCCCTGCTGGATCATTAGACACATGCTAACGCATCATTAAAGGAAGAAGACAGAAGAGCACCCTGCCTGAACCAAAAGCTTGTCCTTTAAGTCCAACAGCAGACAGCCCCACGTGACGCTCCGAAAAGACCCCAGACAAATCACTGATGGCCCTCTGACATGGTCCTGGATAGACCTGTGCTCAGAGAGAGCTAGTAGGGAAGACTAATGTATGGACCTGTGGCTCCAGCCCGTTGCACTGTGGGCCGTTCTGAAATTCCCTTACCTAGTTTCTAGGAAGCTTCTCCGGGGACCCTTCTCAGACCAGGGAGACTCGATTTCCCCCTCTGGCTTTTGTCTCCACTTGCCCTGGGATTGTCATCAAGTCTCTTGAGGCCTTTGTACTTCAGTGTCCACATCTATGAAGAGATCTTTTTGTTTTGGTGGTTTTAAGAAGCACCTCAGGTCCCAGGAGGCAGCTAAGTAGGATCCTGAGCAACTGCGGAGGCCACGTGAGCAGAGGGGATTTTAATGCACACTCCAGGCAAACGCAAGGTGACACAGCTTCTGTGTTTAAAATCACATCAGATGCATACCATTGAGGCCAACACGGTGGCTCAGTGGGTAAGGGTACTTGTCTCCTAAGTCTGACCATTTGAGTTTGATTCCTGGGACCTACAAGACAGAAAGAGAGAAAACTGATTCCCACAGGATCTCACTCTGACCTTCCTGTACACGCACGCGCGCACCAGAGTTTATTCAGCACACACACACACACACACACACACACAACACACACACTGAATAAAATGTGTGATTTACAGGTTTTTGAGAACTGTCTCACTCTTTTGTCCCATGAGTTGAGACAGACCTTTAGAAGTCACTGAGACCTGTGATCTTTCTACAGTGCACTGTTCTACTTTGTGCGTTATGATAAGCAGCAATGTCTTAGATACATAACCACAACCAGTGGTGGAGGCTCATGCCTGTCATCGCAACACTTAGACTGAAGCTGTGGGATGTCCATGAGTTCAGGGCCAGCCTGGGGCTACATAGTGATTTTTTTTTCAGGTCAGCCTGAGCTAAAGGGTAAGATTCTTTCTCTAACAAACAATCACTGCCAAACTTGTTATTAACCTCTTAGGAAGCGTTGGCGAATAGTGACGGGCCAAGGTTAGGCAGTGACAAGCATAAGAGGCAAATAAATAAATAAACCTGATCATAAACCAAATACCTGATGGCGTGAGTGATGCTGTCATGCTGAGGGAAGGATAGCATACCTCAGGAGGGGGACTGGGAGCCACGCCCCTCATCCCTGTGGTCTGTTCCCCCCCTCCCGCCCCACCCCTCTCCACACTGCAGGCTCTCCAGAGAAGGCTGTGGCCCACTACCAGCAGGCCATCCAGCTCAGCCCGAGCCATCACGTGGCTGTGGTGAATCTGGGCCGACTCTACAGGTCCTTGGGAGAGAACAGCATGGCAGAAGAGTGGTACAAACGGTACGGCCCCTTCTCTTCGCTTTCTCAGCCCCTTGGAGGCACCTGCGGTTCCTCACAGGCTCCCCAGTTACTGGAACAGACCGGCTTTCAGAACAGGAGCACACGTTGCCAGTTCGGGTGGCAGAGACCCCCCCCACACACACACCCAGTTCCAGAATAGCGTGACAGTGTAGTCACGAGCTCACATCAACTTCCCCACGGGTGAGACTCCAGGGTTGGGATGAAGCAGCTGTGTCAATACTGGAAACGGAAGAAGGGCTGCCACTTTGCCAAAACCTGAGCAAGGTGGCCTCCATCGCCATACAGGCTCCTGGGACCCAGCTGCCAGGTTGGTGGGTCACTGGAGGCGTTCGCCCAAGATAAGGCATGGTGTTGCATTGGTGGTATAGTGGTGAGCATAGCTGCCTTCCAAGATACGGCATGACCTTGATCTATAAGCAGACTAAGTTCATTCAGGCAAGCGTCTAGCTGGATAGCCCTCCCCCTGCCAAAGCGCAGACCTTTGGAAATGGGCCCACCAGAGAAGCATCTGTTTGTTTGCTCCCCCCCCCCCCCGCAGTGCCCTGCAGGTGGCCCGCACGGCTGAGGTCCTGTCGCCTTTGGGAGCACTCTACTACAACACTGGCCGACACAAGGAGGCCTTGGAAGTGTACCGGGAAGCTGTCTCCCTCCAGCCCTCCCAGAGGGATCTCCGCCTGGCCCTGGTGAGTAGAGAGAAAGTGATATGCTGGGTGTAAGTGCAGCTTGCAAACAGAGAGCTGGTACCACTGCGGCCTCCGAACCGCAAGGAAACGGCTGTGCTAGGGCCAGCGTGTGACTGCTCAAGGAGCCTCGGTGCCACCCAGCACACAAGGCCAAGGAACCTCGGTGCCACGGCACACAAGGCCTGTTGCTAGAGTTTTTCTTCTTCCTCCAGGTGCCGCCTCCCTTCAGCCCCCAAATAAGCACACAGAGACATATTAAACTGTTTGGCCAACGTCTCAGGCTTCTTATTGGCTAGCTCTCTCTTAATTAATAACCCATTTCTAGTAATCTAAGTAGTTCCACATGGTCTTATCTTACCAGAGAAGGGTCCGGACCTGTTACTCCTTCCTCAGCTACATGGCATCCCTTTTTGTCTCTCTCTGACTGACTACCTTTTCCCAGAATTCTCCTAGTCTCCTATTCCTGCCTACCTTCCTGCCTTTGTCGGCCAAACAGTGTATTATTAACCAATAAGAGAAACATATATGCAGAAGGATGTTCCCCGTCAACGGCCAAGACACAGACACTGGTGTCGCTGTAACGATAAAAGGCACACTTGTTGAGGGTGCCTTTCTATTGAGGGTAACTGTTTATTGTAGAAATTACTCACAAGAGAAAACGGGCAACCCAGATGAGTCAAGTAGTTTTCCTGCCACCGAACCGGAAGCCGAAAAGAGAGCAAGAGGCTCTGCTGCTCAGTCTTTTATTCCTACCTCCGTACACACCTCTACCCACGCCCAAGAGCAGGCATGGCTAGCAGCAGCGTAGTTCACCGCCCCATCATGACCACATCCATATGTCTCTAGTCACGCCCAAAGTAGGTATGGTTAGCGGCGTGGTGAACCGCCCTGTCATTACCACATCGGTATGCGCCTCTGGAGCACCACATGGCTAATGGAGCAGTCCTAAGTCTCCCCCTACACATTGGTGAAGCTCCTTGTTTTCAAAAAACTTCAAACTTCCCAAAGCAAGCTACAAGGGAGCTTTGTGAACCGACAGAGCACTTGCCTAGCATGCCCAGGGCCTGCTGCATTCTAGTCAGCAGCCCCAAACCAAACCAAACCAAAAACAAAACTGCCTGGAATGCTTGACCCACATCCTCCAGTTGTCTGTCCCTCCCTCCCGTACGTGAGTGTGAACAGACAGGTGTGTACATGCACGTGTTTAGACGTGTTTGCGTGCGTATCAGTACGCGGTATGTTTCTGCTGGCATGACAGCTTGTGGTAGATGCCGCTCCCTTTGTCTCTAACTTGTTTCCTTTGTGATGCCTGTAAATAAGGATGCTGTCCTATATAATTGCACCATGGTTGTCAAACTCAAGGCAGTTAACACCTCCAACTTTTAAATTTTTGAATTCCATGCCTTTTGGTGGGTGTCTGTGGCACTCCCATCGATGGCACCCGAATGCGTGCAGGTATCTACAGCCGAATGCCGAACTCTCTGCTGTGGCATTCAGCTGTCTCTAAAGCGCTTTGTGTTGGGTGTTGGGATGCTTTGTGTATACCTGTCTGAAGAGGTTGCTCCGTCTGCTAAGGCGTGACCAGGTGTCTTCTAAGCCTGGTGCTCTGTGGTTTTGCAGGCACAGGTTTTAGCAGTGACGGGTCAGACCAAAGAAGCAGAAAAGATGACCAGTCGCATAGTGTCCGAGGAACCCCAATGCCTGGAATGCTACCGCCTGTTGTCAGCAATCTACAGCAAGCAGGAGCACCATGAGAAGGTAAGGAAGCTCTCTCTTCCAGGCTGTCAGCCACCAGAGCAAGAGAGAATGCCAGGATGAGGTAGAAAAGGGCTCTCAAAGCCATGTGGGGTTTACACAGAAGAAAAAACAAACAGTGTGCACCAAATGTTCCTGTAGCACTATGTTCACAATGCCACAAAGTCTTGAAATCGTTGATCTGGACATTCTGCCCAAGGGGAGCTTTCCTCAGACACCCTCTTAACTCCCGACACATCTTGAAGCAGCACATCCTTGGCGCCTCCTTGATTTTCAAATACTTCATATCATTATTACAGTTTGTTTCCAGCTAACTGGCCCCTGCATGCCCAGCCCCTGCATACACAGCCCCTGCATGCCCAGCCCCTATATTTCCAGCCCCTGCATTCCCAGCCCCTGCATGCCCAGCCCCTGCATTTCCAGCCCCTGCATACCCAGCCCCTGCATTTCCAGCCCCTGCATACCCAGCCCCTGCATACCCAGCCCCTGCATTTCCAGCCCCTGCATGCTCAGCCCCTGCATGCCCAGCCCCTACATACCCAGCCCCTGCATGCCCAGCCCCTGCTGCATGCCCTCTGGCTCTCAAATTCTAATGTTTGATACAATCCTCAGGACAGCCCTGGGAGGCAGAGCTGTCAGAACTGTTGCTCTTTATCTGCACATTGAAAAATCACATAACCATTAATTCATAAACTCAAGAAAAGATTTGTTAAATGCCTGCAAAGTGTCGGACACTACGGTAGACTCCAGGCACAGGGGAGGATGGGGAAAAGATGTTGCCATGGCAGATGTGATTGGTGAGATGGGAAAGAGGGACACAGGCCTCCCACTGAGAATCAGCGTCTGGCTAGTTTGTCAGGTATCACATGGCAAGATGTGAGGGGAGGGTGAGGAGAGGAACAGGTCAGCAAGCAAAAATGGGCAGCTGTGACTGCAGAATCGGGTGTGCCCGAGGCACAAAGGTCTGGGAGCACACACAGTTCAAGATACAAACATGACTGGTGTCTCCCATACACACACACCTATAGAAAGGCCAAGGGTTTTATTCCTGATCTAGGATAATTTGGAATTTTAACGGAAAGGCAGAACTGTGCTTCTAAGCAATGTCTATTTGCAAAGGCGGGGCAGGCACCGGGGGCCAGCAGTTCAGATGGACACGTGATCATGCAAACCCCACTGTAGCTGCACAACCTTCCTGTAAAGTGACAAAGACGTTTGATTGTTGCTCCTCTATGGACGGAGAACCTGAGCCATAAGGAAATGCTCTTTCTGAGGCCAATGGCTCCCAGTGAGAAAATGGGGGTGTAGAAAGTACCATTTGTGTGTCACGGGTCACACTAGCTAATGGCTATGAACCAAGGTGTAATGACACTCTAAGTTAGGTTTCCCACATTTCCCCCCTGCTGCAGGCACTCGAGGCCATAGACAAGGCTCTTCAGCTGAAGCCCAGGGACCCGAAAGTCGTATCCGAACTCTTCTTCACAAAAGGAAACCAGCTGAGAGAGCAGAACCTTCTGGACAAAGCTTTTGAGGTAAGGCAAACTAGATGGTCATTAAGTCTGCAGGTTTAAATGAATACTGCAGCTTGAACCTTGTGATTCATGGACAGTGCTATAGACTCGCTTCACTCAGGCCTCTGGTTTTTTGATGACCCCCACACGCAACACCTCTGCGTTGTCTCTTAAAAGTATCATGGATGGGAAAGCACTCAAAGCTCCCCATTCTGGAATTCTGAAGCGCCACCCACACTGTGTGGTGATTTATCTTTCTTGTACAAATAAAGCCTGTCCGGGGGGGGGTCAGAGGATGGAGCTTGCCAGTAGCTAACCATAGAGGTCTGGAGGTCTGTACAGACAGACAGGAAGTGAGGTAGCTGGGCAGAAACAGAATATGAGCAGGGAGAAACAGGGGCTTGATCTCCAGTCTGCTGAGATTCTAAGGAGGTGAGGTGTGGCCATGGCTTTCTCCTTCTTCTCCCTGATCTCTCAGCATTTCCCTAGAACTCCATTTACAACACCGTCTGTTTTGTCTGCGAGAACCTCTGTCACGGCTGGACTGGAGCCCAAGTAGCTTTGGGCATCTACGTGTCTGTGACACCTGTCGTCACCTCTAGACTTCCTCTTATCCCCAGGGCTCTGTCTTCCCCACGGAAGCCCCTCCAGACCAGCCGTTCCTGCAGTGACTCTTGTCCTAAAGCTTAATAAGTAGCACGTCAGGGATGGCTCAGTGGGCCAAGGCGCTTGACTCCAAGCATGACCTATCTAGGACCTGCTTGGTGGATGAGAGTGTTGACTCCTCTAAGTTGGCCTCTACCTCCACATGTGTGCAGTGACATGCATGTACACACACACACACACACACACACACACACACACACACACACACGTTTAAAAACATTTCCTATGTTAGCAGGATGTGGAGATACATCTGGAGGCAGAGAAAATAGGATCACAGGTTCAAGCCCAGTGAGTTCCAGGGCAACAAGGCTGTAATGAGAGACTCTGTCTCAAAAAATTAAAAAAAAATAAATAAACACTCTATTATTAAAGTATCAAGGCATTTGACCCTGAGCAGCTAAAATCACAGAAATGTGGCGCACCACACCTCAGCTTTGAAGAGCTTCCGAAAGGCAGAAGAAAAGCACGCTGCTTTCTTTAAATGCTTAGCAGCAGGTTGGAGGTTGGAGGGACTGGGCCAAGGTTAAGTTGCTTAGAAGAGCACCTTGGGTTCTGTGGTTTTCCTTTGTCCATTTCTTTTATTTCTTTGTTTGTTTGTTTGTTTGAGCGCTGGGGATCAAGCCCCAGGGCCTCACACAGTGCTCTGCACTGAACCACCCTCCTTGGAGTCTGTAATCCCGACAGCAGCGTTCCTCGAGAGCTCATTCATGACGAGGAAGGGCCACAAAGCACTGCTCCCCTGCAGAGCCAGAGAAACAAGCTGTTTCAGAAATCCCTGGGTCCCCACCGGCAGGCCAGACCTGCACTGTCACAGAAGCCCCTGGGGTCCCCGCACTTCAGAGCCATCAACTCTAAAAGGACAACAGGCTACACCTGCCACCCGCTAAGTGGCCTTTAGCAACCAGGGCCTCCACGTGGGCAATGGCTTGCACAGTTCCGGGGCACCTTAGCTGCGTCTCGTGCCTTAACTCGAAACTTTCCTTCTCTGCGCAGAGCTATGAGGCTGCTGTGACCCTGGACCCCGACCAGGCACAGGCATGGATGAACATGGGTGGCATCCGGCACATCCAGGTAGGAGTGGCGCTCGCTGTGCTCCCATCCTGCCCTGGTTCAGAAGCCTCTGTCTGTAGTCAGGGTTTCTTTCCCACCCGGTCCAGCAGCCGCCTAGCCCCAAATGAACACACAGAGACTTTTGCTAGTTAGAAACTGTTTGGCCGATGGCTAGGACATCTTACTAGCTAGCTCTCTCTTAATTACTAACCCATGACTATTAACCTGTGCATTGCCTCAAGGCTGTAGTTTACCGGTAATCCAGCTTGTTACTCCTTGGTCAGCATGGCGTCTCTCCCCAGGCTTCTCCTGGTCTGGTGGCCCCGCCTATGCTTTCTGCCTGGCTACTGGACAATCAGTGTTTTATTCATCAACCAATAAGAGAAACATATGTACAGAAGGATGTCCCCCATCAGTTGTTCATCTTCTCACTTAAATCATTTAAATACTTGAGACATAGGCATTTTGAAACTGAAATTCAGAAGAGCTATGTTTTCTGAATAGTGAACATCCCGGGCCTGTTTAAATGTTTATAAACTTAACTCCACAATACTGCAGATCGTAAGGAAATCACATGCGTGCGAAGAAGTGTTACCAGACAGTGTCTTAGGTCTGTGTGCACTAAACTGTAAAGCCTGCCAACGCCCCAGCAATACCAGACTGTTAATCTAAATGCCGCCGTACTATTTCCTAGCTTTTATTATATGTGGATGTGGAATGTGGACGTGGGTTTATACATAGGAGTGCAATTCCCTCAGAGGCCAGAAGAGGGCGTTGGTGGATCCCCTAGCGCTGGAGTTATAAGATGCCCAGCACGGCTGCTGAGAACTGCTTAGCTCCCGCGCCTTCATTTGCCATGTTGAAAACATTCTGTATTCCCTGACCTTTTAGTGGAAGACACCATCGTCTGTTTTGGTGCCCACCCCCCAAAGCTAAGTTTAGGTGAGTCTTTCTGCCAAGAATAATTGAACGTGACCCCGGGTGGTCATTGTTTGTAGCCAATGAAGTCAGAGATGCGTCATGATTCATCATTCACCCATGCACTCATTACCGCTCTCTCCTGAGCATCCATCTGGTATGCCAGGAGCCAGGCACGTGACGGTGATCGGACAAGACGGGGGAATTCCCGTCCTGCTGCAGCTGGTGCTCTAGTTTGCACGACAGGCAAAAAGTACAGACGTATACACATGTGTACATACATATGCCTAAGACATATCAGATAGTAGGAGGCGTGTGCAGTGGCATACATATGTCTAAGACATAGAGGATAATAGGATCTGTGTGCAGTGGCATCTCGTTCCCCCAGTAGACTTGAGGATGCTGAGACTACAACCCAAGAAATAGTCCCAGTGAGCCCAAGCGAGCCCCAGCGAGCCCCTCCTCTTCCTTATCAGGGGTCCCATCTGCACGCCACAGCCACACCCTCAGGCCATTACCTCAAGTCTATTGGCCATGAGACAAGATGCAGCTACAGAGTGTATGAAGGGAGAAAAGGAAAGGAGAGCGGTGATGTCAGGGCTCTTAGATAAGGCTCCCGCAGAATGCAGGGGTCTGAAGGCATCGAGCCGTGTGGGCTAATAAGAGCGCACGCAGAGGTCTGAGCCTGAAGGTGTGTCTGGAAAACGGAAAGCAGGCGACATGACCGGTCAGAGGAGACAGCCGAAGCCGAGGTCCCGAGAATGAGGCCCCAGAGAGATCCCCAGGAACGTAAACTTCTGTGCCAAGTCAGCCGGGTCCTCGGAGAACTTCTCACAGAGATGCTGTGGTCTGATTTGCCCTCATGTATCCCTCAGACCCTGCAGGGATGAAGGGCAGCGTAGTGATGAGAATTCCCAAGAGGCCCGCCTGCCGGCGCGTTTCCCTTCCACGGGCACCCCAGCACTCTTAGAAAGACCCCAGGGGTGAAGGGGACCCATGGCTGTGCAGATACCAGACAGTGTACACCTCCCTGTGGGGGATCTAAGCATGTTATTGTTCAGTCACAGACTCACACTCTGGTCCGAGCCGCAGCGTGGGGAGTTCAACAGCTTCACTTAGCTGTGAAGCAGAGTGGACTTTCTTAAGCCTAGCGCAATATTTTTAAGTATTTAAAATTACACATTAGGGGTTGGGAAGCTCCACCCAGCCCTTAGAAAGCCTGCTGCCATCATCGGTGACTCCTTCCCCTGGGATGCTCAAGTCAACACCAACAGGCTATTTAAGATTGGGTTGAGGGGTGGCTGGAGAGATGGCTCAGCGGTTAAGAGCACTGACTGCTCTTCCAGAGATACTGAGTTCAATTCCCAGCAACCACATGGTGGCTCAGGACCATCTGTAATTTGGTCTGGTGCCCTCTTCTGGCTTGTAGGCATACATGCCAGCAAAATACTGTATACATAATAAATAAATCTAAAAAAAAAAAAAAACACCCAGGCATGCTTTGCTCAGATCAAACCTGGTCTAACTAATTTGACCTAATCTGATTTATTGCATCAGCAGAGAAACTCAATGCTGGGGTACAGAAACTTTTCATTTAGTAGTTTATTTTTTTTAAATAATGTACAACTTTCTCAGGTGGAGTGTACCAGAAACTAAAGTTCAGTTGTTAATTTGAAGAAGTAGAAAGGGTGTATGTACCTGAGAGCACTCAAAGGAGTAAATGGTATAATTATTCTGTGTCTGAACTCAGGGTCATATATTCAGAGGACAGAGCTCTGGAGACTAAAGCACTGTCTGCTGGGTGTATTGTTTTCAAATGTCATTGACATACATTTAAAATAACCAGCCTCTGTCACCGCAGACATCGTGGATTAGCTTGAGCAACAGGAAACTCCCATATTCATAGTTCAACAGTTCCGCGGGTGAGTTTGAATAATGTGATCCAATATAAATGTGTGCAGTGGGCACATAGCTTGGCCGTGGCCATTCTGACACCACCATAATAGACTAGGATTATCACCGAAGGCATGCAGGGACAATCCTGAACTTGGCGTGTCTTTTCCGAGAGTGTTCATCACAATGTCACCCACCCTGGCCCTGGCTCCTGCCCTGTTCCTGGGGAGTGTAGAGCTCCGAGGGTTATGGAGGAGATGGAGAATTTGAAATAAGGCTTTGCGAGGAGGTGGCGCAGGGATGGGGGGAAAGACGCCGAAGGTTGTGGCTGTCCTGGGAAGGGAGGGGCGTGATCACACAGTGTGCCTAAGGTCAGTGCTCTGGCCGGAAGTACCTCAGATGTGGACAGTCAAGTCTAACTGCAGCCCCTGCGGCTGATCATACGGGATGTTTCTAGTGTTGGACATGTAGGCCGTCCCACGAGGTCAGTTGCAGAAGCCTCTATTTATGGCGTCTCGTTTGTTCAGAAAGTGTCGGGCTTTGGACATTTTGTGTTTTGGGGTTAGGGATGCTCACTCTCTGGTATGCTCCGTGAACTTTCACGTAAGATGAAGTAGATGGGCTGGAATTTCAAGCTGTAATAGGAGTGCATCATCCAAGCCAAATTTCAAAGTACTGTTTCAGCATGGCTTCATGACAGCCACCGAGTGCTTTGCAGAATGGCGTTATCTAGTAGAGCTCTCAGGCATGATGATGATGTCCTGAGTCTTCATTGTCCAAGGAGCAACAGGGCACAGGGACTGTGTCTTAATTAACTAAATTCACTTCTAGAAATCAGATCACCCCAGTTCCTACATAACATACAGTTAGAGTCATTGACTTAAGGGATATGATTTTTTTTCAAAAAAACAAAAACAGGGATTACAGTTTAATCAAGAAAAGAGGAATCTGAGGTAGAGAGAGAAAACTAGATCTTGTGCAAAAAGACAGAAACCCAGTGATCTCAGACAATGCCAAGGTTAAGGATGAGGCCTAAATTCAGGGTAGCCTCCAGGGACAGCTTGAGGGCCTGCTGTGTGAAGAATCCACAGCATGCAGGTGCCCAAGCGAACGCCAAGCTCAACAGAGACCAGAGGCTTGGAGGAGGATGCTGGAGTTAACAAAACAACAAGGCAGCAGAACTGGGCTCCTTGTTCCAAGTCAGGGTGGCCTTTTTCATCCGGCTTAATTGTCAGATATAACTGCACAAGCCAGTGCTGGCTTCTCAGTGTGCAATTCCTTTTTCTTTTGGGTTTTTTGGTTTCTTTTGTTTGGGGTTTTGTTTTGTTTTGGTTGTTATCTTTTGGGGGTTTTGGTTCTTTTTTGTTTTTGTTTTTGTTTTTGGCATGTCCACACCCTCTCATGCCAGCTGCACGCATTAACACCATGAGAACTAGACAGTGAGTCATGGAGACTGAACACCCTACTCAGTGATGGGGGGAGGGGTAGCTCCAGCACCCTGTTGAGGTCTCACTGTGTGCCAGGCAGCGGCCACGCTCTTGGCACACACCAAAACGTGTGGGAAGACACTTCCGCCCTGGCAGGCATTAGTTGCGGGCTTGGAGAGGCGCTGTTTTAAATTGTGATGAAGTTGAAAACGTCCACCCGCATGGGAGCCGCAGCTGTGAGGATGAGGTAAAGTCATAAAGTCGATGTGTGTTGTTTTAGAGTGGGAAGAAATTGGACAGCTCCCTGGGGACGGTGTAAACGTCTATGCCCCAGATAGGAGAGACCGGGGGACAGAGTCCTAGCTGGTGGAAATTCCACCCAGGTCTCCCCCCCATCTCTCCAAACCCCGCTGCATCTCAGAGAGCCTGCCAAATGATGGCCCCTCCCCCGGGGATACTCAAGACCACTCCCACAGGGTATTTAAACCGCACCCCCAGAAACCAGACTTGTGGTTTTTCTGGTCTCCCCTTCCCATCTCTCTGTGGGGCTGGAAGGCCATCCAGGAGCGCTGTGTGCATTAAACGTGGGCTTGATTTGGTCTGATTTTGGTTGCTGCACCAGTGGAGAGGCTTGCATATCGGGATGGGAAAACTTTTCAGAAAGCATCCGCAGCATCACTGAAAACCTGTCTCCAGAGATGCCTCCCAGCTCCCCACCCCCATCCCAGACTCAGCCTCCTGAATCTCCTCCCTCAACTTGCAGCCACTGCTGACTGCTTATGTCACCTCAGAGAGGGGCCCCTCCCCGGAGTCCTCATGAGCTTCCTAGGCCTTGCGAGCAGAGGAAGCAGCAGACACTATCTGAAATACAGAGCATCTTGGGGGGCTCTGCGGGACTCAGAACCGCAAGGCGGGGCCAGACAAGGAAGATGTGCATTTGGCAGAAGAAAGGGGAACACAAAAAGCTACCGACTGTGACCACTGGCCCGTGACCATCTGGGCCCAGGCGCACTGCGCGCGCGCACACACACACACGTTAGTAAACAGATGAATGTTGACAAAAGTGGGAGCAGGTGTGCTCAGCAGGTCAGAGGTCCCATCCTCCTTCCCTCCTGCAGAAAGTGACTAGCAGGTGCTTTTCACTGCGTACCCTGGCTAGGAGATAAATCTGAGTCCATCTTTAAGGTGTGTTTTTTTTTTAATTTATTTCCCGTTGAGTAAAGCCTTCCTGCCAGCCTGGTTCCAGAGCCGCATCAGTCCCAAATGAACACACAGGAGGCTATATTATGAAGCTGTTGGCCGTTTGCTTGGTTTCTTACTGGCTAGCTCTGACTTAAGTATTTACTCCATAATTGTTAATCTAAGTATTTCTCTTACCAGAGAAAGGGTCCGGATCTCTTACTTCTCTGGTGGCTACATGATGACTCCCTGTGTTTCTCTTTCCCAGAATCCTCCTCGACTCCTAGTTCCACTATCTTGCTTCCCTATTGGCCAACAGTGCTTTATTCAACAACCAATAAGAGACAGATTTCAGAATTAAATCTCCCATCAATTTCCTTTATATGTATGAGATTTGCCTGTATGTATGTATGTATGTATGTGTGCATGCAGTGCTCACAGAGGTCAGAAGAGGGTGTTGGATCCCTTGAACTGGAGTTACAGAGAGTTGTGAGCCATCACGTGTGCATGCGTGTGTGTGCTGTGAGTGAGTAGCACCGACCCCAAGGGCCCCCTGGAAGAAAAGTGCTCTTAACCGTCCAGCCGTCTCTCCAGCCCCAAATCCACCTTTTAATTCAAGCCTCTCATTGTGTAAAAACCTGCATTAGGCAAAGAAGGCTGCCTTTGTGTTTCAAGTTGAAGATCAGAACAAACCAAGAAAATAAAATAGGTGTCTGTTTAATTACTGCTCTCCCTCCCCACCCCCACCCCAAGCCCACTTGCTTACAGAGAACAGCAGACCACTGCTAACCTCCAAAAAGACAGTCTCCTCCTTCTCAGTACTGGGAAAGCAGAAATCTGTGTTTCTGCCATTTAACTTATGGTGTGGCTGTCAGGTTCCATGATTCCCCAGCTGGTCTGGTTCTTAAAACAAATGGATCCCCCCCCCCCAAAGCACCCCCACCAAGAGATAAGGATAGAAATATCCACAGATAAGCTTTCCTTAGGGTAACCTGAACACTCAAAGGAAGGGCAAGTGTGTGTGTGGGGGGGTCCCTTCTCTCATCCTCAGAGGTTGTGTTAAGCAATCTTTCCCTCTTTCTACCTCCCCTCCCCCCCAGGGAAGCTATGTGTCTGCAAGGGCCTTTTATGAGAGAGCCCTGAGGCTGGTTCCAGACAGCAAGCTGCTGAAGGAGAACCTGTCCAAGCTGGATCGCCTGGAGAGAAGGTTGCAAGAAGTCCGAGAAAGGGATCAAACGTAGCCCCAAGGACACACAAGTCACTGTGACTCTGCGGGCTGGAAGAAGGCAAGAGGGAGGCTGCACACACTGTGGTCCCCGCCAGCCAGCCAGTCCCCTCCTGGTGGCACCCAGCGGGAGACAGCTGCTTCCTTGACAAACAGCGAACAGGGAGGGGGGCCAGGCAGTCTGCAGGGAAGGGAATTAGCGTGTGCACTTCACAGGCTCCTCCCGTGTCACACTCCCAGCCCCCAGGATAAGGAACTCCATTCGTACTGCAGCCCAGAAACACAGAAGCTTGCAGTCCTGTAGGGGAGACAGCTGTGGGTAAGGAGGGCTGCATCCTCTGAAGCCCTTGGGGGGAAATCTACTCATGGAAGTTCAGTCAGTTCTCAAGAATCCAGAGTGGGTGGTGAAGAGAGGCTTTCCGGAAGGCACTGGGGCAGAGCACTTGATCGACTGGGCCTGGTCTAATAGCCCCCAAGAGTGTCACTGAGGACCTTTGGAGAAGTACATTCAGTTCCACTCTCATAGACATGTTTTTTTTTCCCAGTGCCTAAAACACAAAGGGATCTTCTAGAATCGTATGTGGGTATCTTTATCTCTACAGTGAAAAGCTCCCTGAGCAGTTTTTAAAAAAAAAAGCTCAGCATCCTTGATTAGTTATGGGAATGTTTTTTTAAGTGTTTGAATTGTATTCCAGGTCTTGCTAGAGCTGTGTCTCCACTCTGAGACTTCTCAGTGCATTAGCCAGGAGACTGCCTGCCGCCACCCTGAAACATACTGCTTGGGTGTGGAGCCGCGGGGTGCAGGGTGCACTCGGCCTGGAAACGTTAGAGGCCCGGTCCAGAGAGGTGTTCTCCTTTATTCTCTTAAGGTCAAGACGTCGTGAGATTTATTATTTTTGAAAGATATATTTGAGCACCCAGGAACCTTCACATTGTGTCGCAGAATTCCTCCAGGACTGAGTTGGGGAGGGAAGAGAGCTCTATTTACTGACTTGAGGGTTAGTGGGAATTGTGTACTTAAAAGACAAGTGAACTTGTAAGTTTCCAGACTCCACGGAGAATGCTCTGAAACTCTGTGGTAAAGTCTAAATTCATAATTTTTTAAAAATATATTTATATTTAAAAATGGGGAAGGCAAAGTTGAAATCATAATTTGACATTATTTTAGTGTTATTTATTGTATAACTTATGAAATATTTAATATATATACATATATATATATCCACAAGTCTGCTTTTTTCCCCCTCTGTGCATAATCATTTTGATAGCAGCTGCCAAAACCAATCATATGAAAACCGTCAAAGGGAAAGCTTTAACACTCTCCCCTGAATTGTCCTGGTTATTAATTGCCACTTGAAGCTAATGGAATTAGGGGGTCAGTTCAGTGTTTGGGTGTCAGCTGGAGCACCTGCTTCTAACTTACCACTGAAAACAAAAACCCGGAGGGAATGCACTTTCTGATGCTGAGCCGGCTGTCACACAACCATGACAGCCAGAAAGCAAAATGTCTGACCTGTACAGCCAGGCCGGAGGGAGAGCCCTCTGTTCCTTGCAACCCAACATCGGCATGCAACACCTCTATGTGTTATTTTTTTTTCTGGCAGGTAAGTTGAAATAAACAGCTGAAAACTTACTTTAAAAGGCATGGGTAAAGCCAGGTGGTGGCGGCGGCGGCGGCGGTGCACACACCTTTAATCCCAGCACTCGGGAGGCAGAGGCAGTCGGATCGCAGTGAGTTCAAGGCCAGCCTGGTCTACAGAGCCAGTGCCAGGACAGCCAGGGCTGCACAGAGAAATCCTGGCCCCACCCCCCAAAAAAAGGGGGACTTGACCCAGCGCACACCTACTCTTTAGGGCCAGCCAGTATTTGTCACTGTCACCTGATGTATGCAATCGTCTGTCAGTGTTGCATGTCATAAGTTGATCCGGAATCTTAATTTCTTCTGTCTAAGAAATAGCATCTTTAGTACCAAGATCAAAAGTATGTGCTACAGCATTTATTATAAAAAAAACAATCCCAGGCCCCCTCATTTGGAAAGCAGGGGTCCTTAGCAACATCTTAGTACCACATTTTAGAATAGCATTTACCAAAACGGGTGCGTTGAAGACCAATGGGACAGGTTGAAATGCAGGGTTTGACGAAACTTTCCCTCGTGTAAAGTGCTGCAGAGGGTCTCAGTGTAAACTTGTTAGAATGACTTAAAAAGGCAATTACAACATAAACGTTTCTGAGGAGAAAAAGCCACAAGTCGTCTAGGAGACTGCGGCTTCGGGCCCCTCTCCTTTCTCGTCTGTCTGCCCATTTTGGCATCTCCCGGAGCAGTAAAAACAAAGCACTGCTTAAAAAGAAAAACAAAGTCAGCCTGCTTTGTTGGCTCGGATATGAAACGAGCCAATGAGATAGCTTCCATGGTAGAAACGTTGCCTGGGAGAAAATCAACTGTGGAGTGTTTCTCAAAGCTGTCCGAGTGTGTCCTGTAGCATGCCGTTTGGCCCTGGAGACGTGGAATAATACGGAGGGGTCATTACAGGGAGCCTGGCTTGTTGTGAAAATGCCTCTGATTTGCCGTTGGCAAGCGTGTGCTGTTTCTGAAACCCAGGGTTGGAGCTGGCTCTGTGCACTCACCGTACTCGGCTGGCAATTCTAGCATTGTTATCACTGGTGCTGGGAATCGGATCCAGGACCTTGTACTCACCAGGAAGCGCTCCCCACCGAGCTCGTGTTTTTGCTTTTGTTTTTGTTTTTGCCCTAACAGGGGTCCAGCCCCATGTCTCAGAATTCTGTAACATGCCCTGGGTGTGTTACAGGAGGAGACAGAGGGAATCAGGAGTTGATTCTCCTGGGTTGAGCCTCCAGGGTGGTGGCTCCCCGGAGGAGGTCTTTTCCTCTGTTACACGCTGAGCCCTCCATATCTGTGTAGCCCCTCCCCGAGCATGCCGCGCCAGGCCTGTCCATCATCCCACCTAGACCCGGTCCTTGTCCTGAAACCGCCCAGTGGCAGGCTATTCGCGTGCCCTTCAGGCACAGAAGCTATAGGAATGGCTTTGGTGGCTTCTTCTAAATTTAGGGTTTATTCAGTCAGGAATTTTTCAAAGCGATTCAAATGTTTCAGGTTATTAACATCTTTTCTAAAAACCTGGTTTGGTGGTTGGAACTCAGGCGAATGAACCAAAAACGTAGAAACCTCGGAAGAAGAAGTGTTTTGGGGGTGCTGGGTGTGGGCGGCTCTTGTTTGTTTGAGTGGCTCTGCATCTGTCACTGGCTACCAGAGTCATCTCTGCCCCCGGACTTGCTTATTTTGAAGGTTATCACAAAGCAAAGAGTCTTGTGGTCTTCATGGGCACGCAGTTTCTCCTCTGAAGTCTGCAGCAGAATTTCCCACAGGCCTTTTTCAGCTCTCAGGCAAGACTAAATAGAAAATTCCGCACCACACTGAGGTGACTGAACCCAAGGGAGAAAAGAAAGCCAATGCCTCACCCCTTGTGATCATTAGCAGATAGTCTACATCCCTGTGATTACAGAGCAGCATGGGCGGGTAGGAGGCCTTCCCTCCTGCACAGGGCCTCTCAGCGCTAGCTGCCTTGAAAGAACAGCTAGGATTCTTCCAAACTCCCTAAGACCCTGGTGCGAACAAGGTCCTGCAGGGCTGACTACTTAATGAGGCTTATGGCTTCTACCAAGGAGCTGTGCATAATATCTTGAAATTTTTACTTCTAGCTACTGGACTAAAAATGAGCCAAAGAATTCTAAAGGATGAGTCATTGCTCCGTGGGTTGGTCAAGGTGGTTATTCGTAGGCTGGCTGGCAGGTAGCTGAGTAGGTGGCTTTATGCTTGTGGCAACTGGACTATAATTTGTGCTTCTATCTAGAAAACTCTTGGGTGTCAAATGGAGAGGCACCACCATACCATTTGCACATACCAGGCAAGGTGCCAAGGATAGAAAAAAAAAAACCAAAAAACTGCTGCCTTTTTACTCTTAGAAAATGTCCGTGGCACAAAGATTTTCTCTTCTTGCCTGGCACACAGACACTAGGGCTTTGTTATTTAGTTCTTGATTGCATTTACCAAGACCTGTTTTTGCTGACCTGGTTATGCCAGCACACATCCTTAGTCCCAGTACTCCGGAAGCAGAGGCAGGCAGATCTCTGAGTTCAAGGCCAGCCTGGTCAGCAGATCAAGTTTCAGGACAGCCTGGACAGTACAGAGAGACACTGTCTCGGAAAACCAAACCAAACCAGCCGACCAACCAACCAAACAAACAAAAAAACTCCTTTTAAAAAAAGAGTAATGGTCAAAAATGCCTGTTTTTGTCTGTGGTGGATCCATCCATGGGGATGATAAACCTTTATGAGATCACTAATGACACCAAAAGCTTGCAGCTATGGTAGAAGTAGGCTGTTTCATTTTCTTGGTTTAAAGTCACACTTTTAACTGTACGTTGGCATCACCCAAATGCTGCAAAACCCAAGTGTCTGAATGCCGTCCTTTTACATTTCAAAAGTGTAATGTCAGTCAAACCTTTCTTTCAGACTGCAGCTGTTTACGCTAAGACTTTAGAGTACCAAAAACCAATATTGCAAACATAATTCTTACCATTGTTCTCAGTTTTCAATGCAAAGCATGTTGTATAGTTATAAAAACACTTCCAATATTTTTCTTTCTTTGAGTTCTTTGTTCTGAAAGGAGATGAAGTAAACTTAGTACAAAACATGGCTTCATATTAGAGTGGGACAACAGGATAGATAAAATACCTGGAGTCATAAATTGCCTCATATCAAAATAGTCCATTTTCATCACCAGGGCTCTTCCGATTAAGGCCATTGGCATGCAACTTTAAAAAAACAAGCAAACAAAAAACAACTGCTCATAATATATAGTCCTGGTGTAAATACAGGTTTCCAGTCATTCCTAACTGGAAATGTCTGCAAACAGAGGTCCAGGATATCTCCTCTTTGTCAGGGGCACACAGTATGTATTTGAAGTGAGTCTAGAATTTCTGACTGTGCATACCCTTTGGGGTTATTTAGCTGCTGGCCCATGGTGGGGGCACACTAGTTCAGGTTTCTTCAGAGTTCTAAATCTAGGGTCACTCTAACCTTACCAGGACAGGTTAGTCCATGTCTCAGTAAAGTTTGCCACCCATGAAGCACTCACGGTCCTGTCCAGTGGTTCCCGGGATACCATGAGCCTCAGAAACGAACTAGAAATCACTTAGTATCTGTGGAGATAATGATCTTAGTCCTGACTGTTCTTAGTGACAACCACAACAAAACAGACAACAATGGCAGGAAGACTAGGCTGTCCAAGTGTGTTCCATGACAATAGTAACTCTTGCTTTACAGCTGTGCTTACAGCTCCTCTGGTGACCCTGTCACTTTCCTGGGAGAATGCATAGCATCTTCTCCCAGGGAACCCAGGTGTCTGTAGAAGGGAGGGGCTGGTTTAGCACTGTGTTTGTGGTCAGGACCTTGGTCTTTGTTCTTAATATTCAATGTTCCTGTTTTGTTTTGGTTGTATGTAAATGTACACCTGCGTTATTTTTGCTGCGCTGCTTAAAATACTTCTCCGTTTGAGTCTGACTGTATACTTTGCCTAAGTCTTTCAAAAATAAAATTTATGTAAATGTCTATTTTATATAAAACATGCTAAAATAAGAATTCTGTCTGGCCTCAGTCTCTCAAGTTCTCTGATTAGAATCCACCGATAGCCTTTTTGCTGGCGGAGCTGAGCTTGCTTCAAAAGCAAAGGCAGCCTCTCTGTCATCTTTCAGGACAATTTCTACTTGCCATTCATTGTCTTTGTTGTAATCCAGGCAAACCTGGTCCTGCCTCTCACCCACTCACCTGCACATGGCAGGTGTGTGTACCCTGGCCCTTTAAAAAAAAACCCTCCCACTTCTGCTCTTTCCCGATGTTCCTTACCTCCCTCTCCTCCCTCTGTCTCTGTCTGTCTCTCTCTCTCTCTCTCCTCTCTCCTCCCCTCCCCTTCCCTTCCCTCCCCTCTCCTCTCCTCCCCTCCCCCCTTCTCCCTTCCCTCTCTAATGAAACTTTCTACTCAAGCTCTGTCTGCCTGGCATTTTCACCTGCCATGGAACCCGCCAAGGTCCCCCATGCACTTAGTTCATAAGGATCTTAATCGGTGTGTCTGAAGTTATCCAGCCACCTGCCACTCTGTATTATAATTCACACCAATAGGCTCTTTTCCCATGGATGGGAAGACTTTGTAAGGGTGAGCCTGTGCAGATGAATCCTCTGCGTTAGGGTAGAGTCTCCCATAAGACAGAGGGCTTTCAACTCTGGTAACAAAGGGGGCTGTGCAGTAGCAACTCCTGCTTTAGCAGCCGTGGCAGGCTAAAGACTCAACATGTGCTTGCCTGACCTTACTGGGCCTGCCCTGGTCACTAGGAGGTCGTGGCAAGGAACCAATCAGAAGTTAGCTGGCCAGGCTGTGCTTTACGGTCCTGGGTGTGCTTTATGGTACAAGTGCACAACAGTGACCTGCAGAGCATAGCAACCGCCCTGGGAGGGTCTATGGGCCATAACAACCAGTTGACCAATCAACACAGGGCAGGTCGTCCAAGCCCGGAAGTGCACCACCAATCCTGAGACTGTTGCGTACCCCTAGACACTCCCCTTGCTCTACCCAATCCCTACCACCACCTTATGGTTCCCCTGGGTCCTCCAGCATGCGCCCCATGAATGGACGAAGGACCCAAGCTAATGAGGTTAGCTCATTAAACAATAAAAGACTGCTTTTGCATAGGAATGGGTCTCTTGGTGATTTGGGGGGGTTCAGAATTTGGGCACAACACAAGGAATGAGACTGTGCCCAGTTATGTGGAAGGAACCAGAGGATGTAGGAAAAGCTATGTGGGCCACATGTAGGAGAGCAAGGGGAGATAAGGTCTGGGGACCACTTGCGGAGAGTGACTACATCATGACCAGAAGTGGATCATTGCACCCCTGCAGTTACCAAGCAGCCCAGCTTCCCGGCTGTGGGCGATGCTTTTACTCCAAAGGCTCTTGGGTGGGTTTTTAGGTCTGTGTGCGGCTCCGAGTGTCAGAGGACAACAATGTGCACCTGGGGTAAACGAGGGCTCAGTGGAGGAGGGGGGAGCAAGCCTCGTGGCACTGGGGAAAGAAAGCAGAGTTAGCGGGGCCACTCACTAGCCAGCCCGCCCACAGTGGGACGCTTCCAAGAGGGGACACAAACCCTGCAAGTTGAATATTTTACCACCTCTGCCCCAAGCCCACCGCCTCATTTCTGTGGACTTGGCTCATGAAAATCAACTAACGCGCTCTTTGGGTGCCTGTACCCTACACTTGCCATTTTGAGGCTCTCTGGCGCCCCAGCACACACGCCCGCCTCCCTGTCTGTCTGCCCTCCAAGACACAGTGGAGCCCTGGGCAGACGGGCCCTGGACTGTTGACACAGGCAGAGTATCCTTGCCCTTTGAGTCTGATCAAATATAAGTCCACTGTTAAGAGAAGCTTTTTCTTTGAGTGAAGCCGTCCCGCCAGCCTGGTTCCAGAGCTGCATTAGTCCCAAATAAACACACAGGAGGCTGTATTCATTATGAAGCTGTTGGCCTTGCTTGTCCCTTACTGGCTAGCTCTGCCTTAAGTAATTACCCCATAATTGTTAATCTAAGTATGTTTCTTACCGGAGAATAGTTCCCAGCGTCCTACCCCCATGGCGTCACATGTTGACTCTCTTGTGTTTCCCCTTCCCAGAATCCTCCTCGACTCCTAGTCCCTCCTATCTAGGTTTTCTATTGGCCAGACAGTACTTTATTGACAAATGCACAGGCAAATAACAGGACTTCCCCAACAAGTCCACGAATAGTCTTGGCTTTTACTCCTTTCCCATCGTCAGCCTGACTTATGGCCAAACAGTGTTGATGGAGAACGTACTGACGTGATATCCTACTAATGGATTAATTACGCTCGCCTCAAACAACAGATCACACAGCACTGGCTGGGGCTGCTGAAGTGGCTGGTAAACACTGCAGCCCAGGAAAGGAGCGAGTGTGAACATTCTTGAGGAGCAAGAGCTTGGACAGGCTTCTGAGAAGCCCAATGGCGGTTAAGCCGTGAATCTCCTGTTTTGCCAGGTACTCGCTTGCATCCGGCATGGATTCCTGGGTTCGGGGCCACTGTCTCTGCATCCTGCTCTAGTCTGCAGGTTTCGTGGGTCTTAAGACTGTCACGCCAATGACCACCTCGTTCCTCAGATCTGTGGCAGGGCCCTTGACACACAGGAGGGGACCTCCAGCCATGGGGACACCTCTCTCCCAGGGTCAGGTTGGGGCAGGAAGCCCTAGGAAACCCAGAATTACCAGGGTGACGGTGAAGCAGAAAGATCACGAGGGACACCTGAACCCGGATGTGTGACAGGTGCGGCCTTATGGTGCCCTGAGAGGAATAAAGCAACTGTTTGAGCTCACCTTCCTCACTGGTATCTGCAGTCTGTGGGTGAGGAGACTGTGGAGCCTCTGCCGTGGGATGGGCCGCTGCTGGTGACCTGTAACCCCCAGAACCTAGGCGAGTGAAGGCCCCTAGATCTGCCACCAGGTGAGGCTCACATCTCCATGGCTGGTTCATTCTGGATTTTTCCTATGGTTGCAGCCAGTAAGGGCCCAGAAATACCCAAAGGAAGGCCTGTCTTGATGGAATGCTCTCAACTGGGAATTTGGGGCTTTCTGTTATGGCGCCTCCTCCTTAGAGCCTGGTGGTCCCGGCATCTTGGGTTCAGACTCAGCTGTCTAACCAAATCTAGTGCCAGACAGAGGTAGGGGCTGCTTCTCTCCTGGCCTGGGCCTTCTCTTGTTAGGGCAGTGTGGGGCCGGAGGCAGGGCTCTGAGCAACCTGAGTTGCCTGTGGGGTGTTCCTGTAAGAATCCCAAGGAAGTTAAGGGGGACTGTTAAAGCTGAGTGACTTCAGGGTGTCTGTGCCAGGCCAGGGAATCTGGCTGGAATCTCGACAAAGTGGAGCCTTACACACAGGCTCTGTGTGTGCTCCTCCAGCACTGAGGTGTGGAGTCCCAGTCGCTGATGTGAGAAGCAGGGAAAGGGCCTGGAATCTGTGCTCCCCAGAATTAGTAACTGAAGAAACTCAACAGTTGGTGGATATTGGGTCAGAACAGTGACATCCATCGCTTTCTGTTTTTAAAATGCTCTTTCAAAACAGAGATTTGTTGCATGTGGGTGTGGGTGGGGGATGTCTCATATGCATGCAAGTACCCAGAGGTGCCAGAAGAGGGCATCAGAGACCCTGGAACTGGAGTTAGGCAATTGTGAGTTGCCTTGTGGAAGCTGGGAACTGAAACCCTCATCCTCTGGAAGTACAACCAATGCTCTTAACTCCTGAGCCATCTCTTCAGACACCCCAAAAGTACTTATTTAACATTTTCCAGGACTCTGTTGTCATGATGTATTAACCTTGAGTAACACATTTATCTTTTGCTTCCTTTCTAATTGTTCAGCTAGTAAAGACGCCCTGCTCCCACATGACTGTCTCCCCATAGCTGCTGTCTTCCCCATACCTGTCTCATACTTTTAAAAAGGCTGTTCACGATGTTCCTGCTGCTGTCTCTTTTTTTGGGTGGGGGAGAGGAGTGTTGCTGCTGTTTTGAAACAAGGTCTCTCTGTGTAGCTTCTGGCTGTCCTGGAACTCACTCTGTAGATCAGGCTAGCCTCGAACTCAGAGATCCACCTGCATCTGCCTCCCAGGTAGCACTGGGACCAAAGGTGTGCTCCACCACACCCAGGTCCTGCTGCAGTCATTTTGTTTTGGTTTGATGGACAAAGTCAAGACAGGTAGACCTTGCTACATAAAAGGTAAGAGGGTAAGCAGGAAACTGAAGCCCTCCTGTGTTTAACACTGTGATGCTTTATAAAGTTAAACCAAGAACCAGCAGGCAGAGAGTAAGCGCCACGGTCTCACACAGTCATACAAGGTATAATAAGTTCTGGAGGCTGACGCACAGCAGCTGAAGTAAATCCTACTGGGTGGTGTGCTGTGGATGTGCTGAGGGAACAGACCCTCACTCTGTGGCACAGCCGCCGTATCTGATGGTGATGGCAAAAGTCATAAGGCCAGCACAGCTTCTTGACAAAGATCCAGCAACGCTGAGCCATGTGATGGCCGCCATGACACCTTTGATTTTCATCTCCACCTGCTACGCACTTGGGGGACTTTTAGCATTTGCATAATCTTGGGGATATTGGACTGATGGAAATTTTCTTATGAATCATCTATGCCTTCTCCCAGGAATACTGCTTCTAAGCTTCCCAGGACAGTCCTGAATATACTATTATCCCGCTTTAAAGAGATACCCTTATCTACTTGAAGGTCTTCTTAATGCCTTATTGGTTATGACACACATAAAGAAGGCAGAAGTCTCTTTACGAGGCTCTGAGACACACTTGAAACGTCTGCCCCTGCATTCACCCAGGAACAAGTTATTCAAAACAAAGGTCAACAAGATATGGTGGATTAGAGGAGTTGGCACGGTTCAGATCGCAAGTCTCTTCCCAGGATACACTCAGGCAATTACGTGGCATATACAGCAACAAAGTTAGATGAGCTGAAGTTACCTCTGCCCCACACAGGGACTCATATTGATGAGCAAAGACTAGAGTGGAAACATGATAAAA